GAAGCACGGGAGTGGGTGGAAATTCGCTGAGAGTTTTCGAGTGCGTAGAAGGACAAGATCATCGCGATTTCTTGTTTTTGAAATTGTTTTCGGAGGTTCTTGGGGCGTTTGCCTTGCGCACGCGCCATCGGGGTGTCGCGCGTGCGTCGGCGGCTCAGACGGACGTGGCCGTCGGGAATGTTTAAATTGTGTTCTGCGCTCGTTGGAGCGTTCGCTTTGCGCTCGCGTGTTCAGAGGGTCGCGCGTTGGCTGGCGGGGAAGAAAGCACGGGGGTGGGTTGAAATTCGCTGAGAGTTTTCGAGTGCGTAGAAGGACAAGACCATCGCGATGTGTTCGAAATTGTTTTCGGGGGTGCGTTGGGTGGTCGCCCTGCGGATGCGCTACCGGACGGTCGCCAGTAGGTCGCTGGCTTAGAAGGACAGGGCCACCGCGACATTATTTGGGGATTGTTTCGGAGCAACTGGCGACGGCGGCCCGGCGAAGTGCCTCAGGAATGACGTCGGGTCGCGGGCGACTCCCAGCATCTGGATCACGGAGGAGGTCGAGTCTGCGCTGCGCGAGAAGTGCAGCGACCGCGGCGAGGACGCGCAGCCTCCGTGCCTGTGCGCCCAGTGCGCGGAGCTGGGCAACTGGCTGGACAGCGTGCTGACGCTGCAGGAGTACCTGGCCCTGGAGACCACGAAGATTGCGGCCAACTTAGACGGCATCTCCAAGGCGAAGGCTTCGAAGCCGAAGAGGCCGCAGAAGGACGACGCGCACGTCGCGGAGGTCCCCGCGTTCCGGGAGGGCGCCGAGGACGACGGGGCGGGCGCCGCGCAGGTGGAGACCCAGGGCATCCGCGCTCAGGACGGCTTCGCGAAGCTGGGCGCCAACGCGGTCCTGGAGCATCACTTCGACCCCGAGACGCTCGGGCAGATCTTGCGCTTCGACACCGCCGAGCGCACGCAGGCCTTCGTCAAGGAGCTAAAGAAGGCCGCCACGATGATGGAGAACAGCGCGCTGCCCGGGCCGACTGACGCCGACGCGTCGCGGGGCGCAGCCCGCGCCCTGAAGGAGGACGTCCTCGCTCCGTTCAGGGCCCTGCGCGACCTCGACGCAGACGAGCTGAAGGACCCGGTGGAGACCCAGCGGAAGAGGTTCGCCAAGGGGGGCACGAAGGACGCGGACGCGCCCGCGGACGACGCCCCTGCGCCGGACGACGTCGGGGCAGCGGGCGCTGGCGCGATGCCGGTCGAGGCGGCGCAGGCGCGGTGGGAGCCGTCGGAGGAGCTGCAGCGGCCCAGCGACCTCGTCAAGCGCCTCGTCAAAAAGTTCGAGGACGGCGTGGTCAACCCGAGCACGGGGAAGCAGGAGCGCCGTCCTCTGAAGCCCGACCAGGCCCTGTTCGTCACGGCGTTCGCGAACGCCTGCAACGTGGTGTGGGACGAGGAGCAGAAGATCGAGGACGGCAGCATGGCCAAGCACGCGAAGCGGAAGACGTTCCAGTTCCTGCTCCTCGGCCAGGGCGGCAGCGGGAAGACCGCCATGGTGCAGGAGATTGCGCTGCCGGCCATGGGCGCGCTCTTGCCCGTGGAGCCAGGCAAGGCGAAGCCCGCGCTGATAGTCTACGCGAAGTGGTCTCAGGCCGCGAACATCTCCACGGACGCCCACAAGGCCGTCAGTTGCCACCGGGCGGGAGTCATAGGAGTGCAGTCCTTCAGGAGCAAGGACACACCCGCGGGGGGCAAGTTGAAAGCGCTGCAGGACACGTGGGAGGCTGTCAGGTGCTTGATCCTGGAGGAGGTGAGCATGGTCTCGCCCAACCTGTACAACATGCTGGCGTTCCGGTCCTACCTGGGAGGCAAGGCCGAGTGGGGCGCGGAGGAGCGGGAGTACGACCAGGTCGGCGGCGCCTTCGGCCGGATGCCCATCGTGATCCACCTGGGGGACTTCATGCTTCTGAAACCGACGGGAGGCAAGGTGTCGCTTATCTCCAGCTTCGAGGAACTGGCGGCGGCGAGCATCAACCTCGCTCCAGAGTACCAGGCAGTGATGAAGCTCTTCTGCAACGCGCCGCTATGCTTCGAGCTCCAGTCGTCCAACCGCTTCAAGGACAAGAAGCTCCGAGATCTCATGGCGTTCCTGCGCAAACCGGCGAAGCAGGTCCCTGCGGCCATCCAGGCCACATGGGGCGCCATGCAGCTGAAACCCGATGATCGCCGGCTCCGGGAGGAGAGGTTCCAGAACGGCCACATGATCGGGTCCTACTGGGACACCGTGGCGCTGTGTGGATGAACACGCGAGCCCAGCGGGACGCGGACGTCCTGAAGAAGCCCCTCTTCCTCGTGCAGGCCGCCGACAGGTCTGCCCCGACGATGAACGTCAAGGACGCTGCCAAGATGATGAACTGTGCCAACCCGAAGAACACCGGTGGCATGCACGGACTGCCCCCGGTGCACGCGGGCATGCGGATCCGGCTCCTGGAGGCGCTCGACCTCAAGAACGGCCTCGTCAAGAACGCCGAGGGGCAGATCGCGCACGTCGTCGTGGACCCTCGGGATCGGGGCGACGTCGAGAGAGCCGAGAGAGACGGGGAGAAGAGAATCTACCTGAAGCGCTTGCCGCTGGGGTTCTGGGTGCGCATGAAGAAGTACGCGAGCGCGCCCTTCGTGGACGAACTGAAGCGCCACGACGACAGCCTCGCGGGGGGCCTCGCGGGCCCGCTGGTGTTCATCGAGCCCCGCACGTCGGAGCCGTTCACCTTCCGCACCTCCAAGGTCACCCAGGCGGGCTTCCCGTTCTCGCACGGCAGGGTCATCACCGCGGTGGCGTGCCAGGGGCGCACCATGCGAGAAGGCGACGTCGCGGGGGAACGGCGCTCCCAGGGCGGCGAGACCTCGGGGGCGCGAGCAGTCCGCAGCCAGACCTCGGTCTTGTGGACTCGCCGCCTTGGGCCGCCGGCTGCCCGGCGCACCGCCCCCTCGGCCGACGTCGCCCAGGCGCGATCCTGGATTGCGGCCGCCACGAGGTCGGGAACGGCAAGAAGGAGGACGACGACTGGTGGCTTGAGCTCTACGCGCTGCTCTCGCGCGCCACGCGACACGAGGACCTCCTGCTCACGCGGGCGCCGCGCATCGAGTTCTTCCTGGCCGGGCCGCCGGCGGGCTTGCGGAAGCAGCTGGGGCAGTTTGCGGCGCGCGCGAAGCGGCGCAGGAGGGAGGCCGTGGCCCTCGCCAGGGAGCTCGGTTTCACCGAGTTTATCCGCGAGGCATGACCTGAGGCGCGGCCCGCCCCAGCCGCTTCTTCTCTTGGCTGTCCGACTGTTCGGCCTCGCGCCGCGGACGCCGCGCGCGCGTCGCTGGGGCCCTCTCGGGGCGATCAGCGCGCGTCGCGCGAACTCCGCGCTGCGCTCTGCAAAGCGCCTCGCGCGCCCTCCGTCGCTCAGCCCAGCGGCCAGAGCCACGCGCGCTATCAGTTAGCCTGCACTCTCGGCTCCGTGCAGCGGACGAACCGCGCGCGTCGCTGCGACCCCTTCAGGGCGACCTGCGCGCGTCGCGGGGACTCCGCGCTGCGTTGCGCCAGCGGCCTTAAATTTTGGAGTGCGCGGGAAAAGAGGAAGATGAAGAAGGGGAGGAGGCGGGCGCGATCCTCGTGTGGGGCGTGCCGACATGGGCGTCGCGGCGCGCGGGCGCTGCCGTCGGGGTTCCCAGGGAAACCCCCTGCGGAGGCTACGCTCAGTGTCACGAGGACCGACAGTCAGGCATACCCAAACCAGTCACAGTCGTATAGATTTACACTAGGCGCCCCCATGCTAGCATTCATGCAAACAGAATCAATCGCAAGCAGATTCATTCATAATCAGACTCGTTCGCGCTTAGACTCGCCCGCGCTCAAGCTTTCATGCTCAGACTTATCGTTTTCGTTCGTGTTGTGTACTCCGCCACTCATGTCGGCACCCCCCATCACGCGGTTCGTGGCCCCAGAGGGATCGCCACCGAAGAAGATATGCACATTTGCGGTACTCGCAATTGCAGATGGTTGGGTCCTTCGCCAGGCTAATTTGGAAACTCGATTGCGAAATCCTTCCGGCACCAAAGGTTTTTGAAGGATTTCGGCATGCGCGCGCAACAACGCGCGCGCGCGTGCACTTCGTCCCATCTATTGCAAGGGATTCCTGAAAAAAATGTTATGCTAGAACAAGAAATGTCACCGCATAGTGTTTGTTTACGGAACCCTCAGGGGGGGGATACCGGTTGGCCTGGGACATTGCGATTTCATATTTAGGGTGGACATGGGGGGCGATAACTCCGGGGGGGGCGATAACTCCGGGGGGGGCCGAGAAAGGGGTGGCGATAACTCCGGGGGGGGGTAGAGTCTATTCTGTTTTTAGAAAGGAGAATCTTTGTGGTCCGATATGTGCGGCTGAGGCTACGTGGTACATTATTCGTGGTGCAGTCTATATGGTGTGCGCTACGTGGTGCAATCTACGAGGTGCAAGCGATGTGGTGCAAGCTACGTGGTGCAATATATGTGTTGCGGAATCTTAGTAGTGCAATCGAAGCATTGCGTTCTACGTGGCGCAATATATGCGGTGCTGTCTAAGCGGCGACGGGCGGCGACGGCGACAACAATTGCGGCTACCAACACCCAGGCGCAATGGAGCGGCGACGGACGGCGGCGACTGGCAGCGACGGCGACAACAAGCGCGGCGTCCGACACCCAGGCCCAGAAACATCGGCGACGGACGGCAGCGACGGGCGGCGACGGCGGCAACAAGCCGTCCAGACCGACACCCACGCCCAGTTCTTCTTAGACGAAGGAAAGCCTCGAAGTGCAAGCATCGTTTTGGGGAAAATACATTTTACCACCCTTCCGACCCTGGATTTATGTGTTCACCTCTTATGTTTCGGAACTTTCATGTGATCCTACCTCATCGTTCGTTTCCACATGAAGTCGCACCATCCCAGCCAACCCAATTTTGATCGGTTCCCCCACCACCCCGTCCCGCAAGGCGGACCGACAGGAGCGAGTTTGGCCCAAGCTTCTGGCCCTGTCGCCGCGCACTTCTGACCAGAGCCAACGCTATGGTCGACTACAGCAGGTGGGAGCAGCTCGCGGCGGAGCTGTCGTCGTCGGACGAGGAGCTCGCGGCGGGCCGCCCTCAGGGGCCGCCGCGGCAGGACCACATCGACGAGCTCCTGGGGCCGCGGGCCGACGGCTTCCCCGACTTCCGCCGCCCGCTTGGTCGAGGACCAGAGGCCCCAAGGCGTCCGCAGGGGCCAAGCCCAGGACTCCGACGATTTGAAGGTTCAATCCCGGCGCTCTTCCTCGATTTCGGCCTCCCGTCATCGGGGCCCGGGGCCGTCCACAGTTGTTCCAGGACGAAGAATTACCCCCGGGGAAGGGGTCGGGATCTCTGGGGCCGCACATTGAACAAAAACGCATCGTCGGATGCCTGGAAGTTCAGAGGATTCGGGCTTGGTCCATCGAGTTGCCGTGTCACTGAGCCACAAAACGAGTTTCGGGCAGCGCCAGCGGCAGAAAAGGACAGCTCGGAATTCCGGCGCCCTGGCGCCGCATCCGCAGCACCTTTGACGGCGCCAATGCGCAGGAGCGTACAGTGCGCATTGTCTTGTCAGGCCCTCGTGGGGATCGAGGAGGGGAGAGGGTCGAATATCGAAACAGCTTCTTAACGCTCTTGAGCGCTTCGATTGTTTTTTTGGGGGGTGTGGGAGTGATCCTGGGGGGGTCCTATTCCCTTTCCTCTCCTGGAGGTGACAACTTCCCAAGTGATGGCCCCTGTTCGCATTGCCTGGAGGACGGTCGGGTGAGCACACCGGTCTGGAGAAGGGGCTTCGCCTTCTAGGGAACGAGGGGCTGACATCTCTTCCTCGGCAGAAGTAAAGCGAGGGAGGCTCCGCCGGCAGAAGCCAGCGGGAGCAAAAAATGCCCCACCCCAAAGACGTCGACGTCTTCGGATTTGGAGCTGCGGCGGAAGTATGGCGAGGGAGGCTCCGCCAGCACAAGCCGGCGGGCGTATGAAAGGACAGCCACCCCCAAAGGAACACCAATTCCTTTGTATTTGGGGTTGCGGCAGAGATGAGGCGACGGGGGCTCCGCCAGCAGAAGACCCCCCAACAGACGCCAACGTATTTGGAATTGGGGTTTCTGGAACGGGCCCACCACGCGGTTTCGGGGCACCCAAGAGGAGTTCGCGTTGGCGCCCCCGTGGAAGATGATTCGGACGAGTCCGTCGAAGACGAGTCTGGCAGGAGCGAGGACGATGGAAGACCTCGCCGAGTGGCTCGGCGGGTCACGGGCACCTGTGCGCACTGCGGCGCCGTGGACGCCATCAAGCGGTGCTCCCGCTGCCAGGGCGCGTGGTTCTGCGGCCGCGCCTGCCAGGCCGCCGCGTGGCCCGCGCACTCGGTGAGCTGTTTCGCCCGGAGCGAGACGGAGGCGTGGTGGGGCAAGCTGGGCGGCAGCACGGCCGTGGGTCGGCCAGACCTCGCCGGGGTGCTGCAACAGCGGCTCGAGTTTAGGAGGGCGGTGGCGGCCACGCGGGAGCGGCGCCAAGCTGCGGCGGCCGCCGCGGCGCAGGCCGCAGCGGCAAGGGCGCGGGAGGGGCAGGCGAAGGGCGGGAAGGGCGGGAAGGACCAGGGTGACAAGGAGGAGACTTGCGCCGTGTGCCAGTGCGAGTTCACGGTCACTGGTGACTCTGGGGACGGCATATGCTGCCCGTCGTCCCACTTCTTGTGCAGCGAGTGCACGGGCGTCTTTGTCCAGAGTGTCATGAACGACCTGGAGGCCTCGTACCCACCGAAATGCTCGATGTGCAGGGCCGAGATCCCCATCCAAGGGTTTGAGCGGCAGCTGAGCCGCCAGCAGCAGCACATGCTGGCCGAGTTCGTCACGCAGCGATCGCTGGCCGCGAGCGAGACCATGCTCAAGTGCTCGTGCGGGTACATGGAGGTCAGGACGGACATGCCAGTCTTGTGGTGGTGCCCCGTCTGCAGCCGCGGCGAGTGCCAGGTCTGCAACCAGCTGCTCCCGAGCACAGACCGCGGCCTGTCAGCCCTTAGCACCGACACGTCCGACGGAGGTCTCAAGCTGGACCTTCTGCTGAGACCCCACATCGTGGGCTGCGCGAGCCTGCGCGGCGCGAAGCAGAAGGTGGACAAGGCCATGGAGGCCGGCCAGAAAATGCCGTGCCCGGGCTGCGGCCTTGCCGGCATGAAGGACGAGGCGTGCACTCACATGAATTGCCCGCGCTGCCAGACGTCCTGGTGCTACCTTTGCGGCCTGTCGGCGCACGACTGCGACAAGAAGCCACCGAGGCCAGGGCAGCGGCCCGATGACATATTCCTTCACAACGCCGACTGGGAGGTGAACTCGAAGCGCTGCCCCATGTACCTGACGCAGATCCTCGAGGTGGACCCCGCATGGCTGGGCGCCGACTTCGAGGAGGGCGACGAGGTCACCGACGACAGGCGGGAGAGGGAAAAGCATGTATCACACAGAGTCGACCGCGCGGACATTTGCGGTCGGGCTGCCCGCGCGGAGGCTCGAGGATCGAGGTTCTCATCGTTTTTGTTGCCCTCTCTTACGCTTCGGGGGGGCCTCCCAGGAACCTCCGCTGACCTCTTGAGGGGTCGCGCGCAATGCCTGACGCCAATCAATAAATGCCCAGGGGGGCCGTCACTCAGCAGCGCCCTGGGCGGTGGTTGGTAAATTGGGTTCCGAGCCTCCTCGTTGGCGTCGTCATATGTACATACAGTGGGCACACAAAGTAAGAAACTGGCCTGCCAGCATGTGCCCCACGGAAACACCGCATCCTTCCGATGGCCTTGGGAGCCCATGGAAACGTTGGGGCACTTTTGGGCCTTTGAAGAAGGACGAAGAATATGCCGTAACATCCCTTATAGCACCGCTGGTTATCGCACATGTCAATTGTATTCGTCGCCCAGGTGTTTGGCCTACTTCCACAGGTGGAGGACCATCAAGCTCCTGCAGGAAGTGCGCGATGACGTTGGCGCGGACACCTTCGAGCAGGTGTGGCTCCATTTCGCCAGCGTGCGCCGCGCTGGCTACGAGCTCGAGGACATTGTCCACACAGACACCACCATGCTCATCGATCGCGACGCCTACGGCGACGACTCCGAGGAGGACGACCTTCTGGGCGTGGACGGGTACGACTCCGAGCATGAGGATGGGGACGAGCCCGAGAGCGAGTATGCCGAGAGCGAGTAGGCTCTCGCGCTCGGAACGGCTCCTCGGAGGAAGGGAGGAGAGAGAGGGGGGGAGGAGAACCATCCCTCCTCCTGCTCCCTCATGTTCCCTCCTATTCATGTTCCTCCTCCTCCTCCGCCGCCTCCGCATCCGCCTCCTCCTCCTCCTCGTCAGCATCACCACCATTATCCTTCATCATCGTCGTCATCACCACCACCACCATGATCATCACCACCAAAAAACATGATCACCATCACCACCACCAGCAGCATCATCGTCACCATTATTATTATTATTATCATTTTCATTATCGTTATCATCTTCATTATCACCATCACCATCACCATCGTCATCGTCGTCGTCATCGTCGCCATCGTCATCATCATCGTCATCGTCGTCTTCACAATCAGCAACAGCAGCATCATCATCAGCAGCAGCAGCACCATCATCACCGCCATCATCATCGTCGTCATCACCATTATCGTCATCATCATGGCGCGAGCGCACCTAGCATATCTCTCACTTCCCTCCTGTGTCCGCCACCCTCCCCATTGTACACAACTCCGCCCGTCCGCTGTTGTGGCGCGCCCACCGGCCGATAGTTGACGACAATGAACGCAGCGTGCGAACATGTTTTAGCCTGCTTCTCTGGTGCAGGACGGGAAATTTTAAAGGACAGACAGTCCCGCCCCGTGGCCCGTCGAAGAGCGATAAATTCATGGTGCCTCTCCTTTATGCGCCAGAGCCATATCTGTACATTAATGTAGATGGGAGGTATGTATACAGATCACGTATTTGGTTCGATTCGTTTCTCTTGAGGTGGTCCTGGAACCAAGGGTTTGCATTGGGCGGGGCTGGCATGCGATATTACATGTCCACGCGGTAGGTCTGCTTGATATTCTGAATGTCGGTTGGGCCAGGGATCAATGGGACAGACAGAAGTCACGCCACCTAACGGCGCATAGGCACATGAATTGAAAAGCATGATGCGTAGCTAAGGGAGCGTGGAAAGAGGCAAAATCTAGGGAGGGGGAAGACCGAGAAGGGGGATGATAACATCAGCAATCGATCGTCGCATTGCTTGCATCATGCATGCCCCCCCACCCCATGGCGGCGCACGTGGAATCAAATTATCGGGCGGTATTGAATTAGCAATACATGTTTCGATACACGAATACAGGTTTCAGTAAGCGCGTTTTTGGGCTGCAATAAAAGATAACCGCAGTTTCAAAACATCAGAATACGGGGAGGAGGAAGAGGAGGAGGAGGAGGAGGAACGGGAGGAGGAGGCCCGAGTAGCGGCGTCACCTCCAGCTGTGGCATAGGCAGAACACCGTGCAAGTTCAGAACAGTTCGCGCCACAGACCTCTGGACTGCGATACCTAGGATTCCCCACCTAAGGTGCAGCAGCGTCCAGAAAGGCCGCGAGTGCGCTCCGCAGCACATTTTGGAATTAAATCAACCAGTTGTCGACCTCATCGGCCATACACCTCCACCCATAAGAAGAACAATACGCCTAACCCACTTGAGACAACTTCCCCGTGCGTGTCGTTGTGCCGTGCTTTTACCCAGGCGAGCAGCCCTCCTCTTCTGTTGCTCTTACCTGGGCGAGCTCTGCCATTGGCCGAGATCGGCGAGACCACAGTAACGTCGCAGAAGAATGGGAGCCCATGCGCCACCTAAAGGCACGGCACGACCAAATCCATCACGAATTCCAGTGGCCGTGTTGCTTTTTTGGCGGCTTTTCGCAAATTAGTTCAGCGCGCTGAAAGATGACCCTTTTCTGTGGTCGGCACGCCTCTTCAAACCTCGCCAGTATTGGCGTGCTTTGTCACCCCAAACCGAATCGAATGTACAAGTCATGTTGTTGCACGCGTGCCAAACTTTCATACCGATGGCCCTCAGTGCCAGCCGCGTTTTGAGCGGCGGCCGCCACAAGAGAACATTTAGCTCAACCAAGGTTGGGAAGCGTCAACACGCCAGACATACGCGAGGGCGTTGCGCGTCCACGTGCGCGGCACAGAACAAGAATTGTTATCGTCTCCATTGCCTGTCGACATTACGGATAAGTTTATGATAGTCTTTGTAGCTATGGACGGCATGTCTCGGCATAATATCCAGTTAAATCAAAGTGCTATGCTACAGGGGTGAACATGAGATCGCCAATTCAGTCGTACGTACAGGGAGGTCTCGGAGAGTGAATTGGGAGCTTTGTACTGCCTAGGTCGTGAAGTGTTTGGTAGATGGGGTGCGCAAGCAGTGAACCTTATACCAGCCCTCGTGCGACAACGGGCTCGGGATCTACATCCACGAACCCAACGTGGATTCAGTTTAGGCTTGATGCATCGCTGGTGGGGTTTGTTCGGGTTGGCCTTGTAAAATGCTGTGGCCTTGGCTGTGCTCAACGAGCATGGTGATATCCCAGAGCTCCTTTTGGACGCACCACCTCCGCTTGACGAGCTGGAGGTGGTGTAACCCTTCTCCTCCTCCTCTTCATTGGGCGTTGCTTAGCGTGTCTTCCGTCGCACCCTTGTTTCACCGCTTCCTGGTTTTCAAGTGAGCCTTTGAGCTGGCGAATCGTGGAGATGATCATGGAGGGAAGGGAGAAGAAGAGGAAAAAAAGGGCTTCGCGATCTTGCGCGTGGCGAATGCTGCGATGGTCTATTGGTGCCCAACGTGGGCGGTAGGCACGCTGGGCGGCGCGCCTGTTGTGCGGGGCCCGTGGGGGCAATCGCCAAGACAACACCCCATCACACGGAGTGTTCTGCTGGTTGTTGGTAAGGCAGTGGTTGCGTGACCATAAGCACGTTGCCATTTTTTCCCCCACTGCGTGCAAACGGCGGCGCAGCGAGCGCGAGGTGCGACAGCAGGCCAGCTAAGCAATCTTACAGGAGGAGGAGGAGGAGGAGGAGGAGGACGACGACGAGTAGGCGGAGGAGGAGGAGAAGGAGGGGGGGGCTACAGCACCTCTAGATCAGCGAACGGGCATGTTGGCTCGAGCTGCGTGCGCGGCAGCGCGGCGGCCAGAGTCAGAATAGAACGGGCCACAGCTCTTTGATTTGCTACACCTAAAAGCCCCCCCGCCTACCGGTGGAGAAGACCCAACGCCAGTCCACGCCAGATTCTTGGGTCTGCTCCTCGGGTGCGTTCTCGAGCTAGAATTTGGAGGGGGTTTGTAGCTTGTTTGCCGAACCTGCCATACACTTCAGCACCTAGGCATTGCAGAAAACCTAAGCCACTGCTCATCACTTCATGGTAAGTGTCGTTGTTGGTGCTCTCGGCATGTTCCAGCAAACGCCCCCCATAGTTGCTCGTTCCCATTCGCGGAATCCCATTTGCAGATACAGGTGAGATGACCATTACGTCACAAAAGAGTGGTAGCCCTTGTGCTACGTTCAGGCACGGTGCGATGATGTCCATACGACGCATGTCGCCATGAGGTATAGTACCCATTCGATGTTGCGGTCTGGAATTAAACTCCTTGCTTCGGTCAAGATCTGCCGCCACACTGCGATAAACTCAGTATGCCGCGCATGCGTACGTCCCCTAAGCAAGCTCGCCAACAGCGCATGTCCGTGCGGATCAGGTGTGTCACGTGTAACTGCAATTCCAACTCGGCGCCGGATAACACATTGGAGTATTTGTGTGTCGAAAGTAAGCCCGTCACACGGGGGGCAAACCAATAACCACCCTGATGCAAAACGTCCCATGCTTGCGTAAGTTCTAGTTATGCCAACCGAAATTGCGTTGATTCGCCTACTTGGGAGGGCGAGATCACGAAGCAAAGCCGTGCGCGCTGATCTCTCTAATGCCGAGGACGCCCAAAATTACCATCCGTGTTGCCATTCTCCCAGAAGCAGCATGTCGGTCCCCGATGGTTCCAGTGGCCGCGCCCTTGCCGCGATTTCATCCCAGCTGGGTCGGTCTCCCCACCCATGTGCCTCACAATGTGTCCCTGCATGTTCTGCTGCGGTCAGACATCGAGGGCCTTGTTGTGCACCAGTCTGGATTGAGTTGTGTCCTGGAATTTTCTGGCCAACGTTTCGGAACCAGTCGCCGCAAAGTATCCCCAGTTGCAATTTTTTCCCCGCCGCATCAACGCCCACGCACACACCCAAGTGCCAATCGCAAAACCCGACTGGGGTGAAACATTGTTTCTGCGAAGCCCCGGAGAGCGGTTAAGCAGAGGAGGGGGAGGAGGAGGAGGAGGAAGAGGACAAGGAGGAGGAGGAGGAGGAGGAGGGGCACCAGCCGTGCCCCGCACCCTAATTTACCACCGGAAGCTCATTCAGAGGGCATTCTGGTTCGATCTGCAGCGTAATAGCCACGCAATGAGGTACATTTGCTTGTGCAACATGCTCTGCCACATCACCTACAGTTTCCAATGCTGTTGTACCTTCCAAACGAAGAAGCAGCCATACGCCAAATGCGCCAAGGCAAAGAGATGCCACGCGCCAAATGCGTGCGAGAGCAGACGATTACACGCCAAAGCGTACGCCCGGATGGCCTGGACGCGCCAAGTGCGCGCCGAGAGGACGCAAGGAAGAGGAGGACGCCGAAGAGCAGATAATTACACGCCAAAGCGCGCGCACAGGTGGCCTGGACGCGCCAAATGCGCGCCGAGGGGATGGAGGGAGGAGGAGGAATATGAAGATATAGGTGTTTTTCCTGCCAAGACGCACAAGCCATGCAATGCATATCATAAGTATTCGTCTTCTCCACATCCAGTTGGCCCGGAAAGTTTGATGCTGAAAGCGTGCCATCTTTCTCGTCTCGGAGCGTGTCCACTAAAGCGTCAGAAGTAGGGAAGCATGAAGAAACAATTGATAACAATTATGCTGCCCATTCTTTTTTGGGTCTCCCCCGCGCACGTTTGCAGGTCAATGTGACCGGCATGAGAATATCAGGTTCAAACGTTGCCGCACGCAGCGCATGAGTGTTAGGGTTTCGGCCAATCTTCCCAAATAGTTGAAGTTGTTAATGCAACAGTTGCGATGTGTAGGGCAGTTGTTGGCTTCTCTCCAGGACGGTCTTGTTTGATATTTTAGAAATGAACGACTGGGGGATATTCCATATTTTCTTGAGACATTTCGTTTGGAAGCTGTCCAATCGTCGTTTTCCAGCTCGGTTGAACCACGCCGAGCTGAGAGAATACATGGCTTTAATTGTGATCATCGCCTGGTAGATTTGTAGCTTCCTTTTGACGCTGATTGAAGTGTGCTTCCATACTTTCGTATATCTGTAGAACTCCCCCCAAGCCTGCCCCAATCGTTTGTTTAATTATGCATGTATGTGCCCATGATTGTTAATTGTAGCCCCGAGGTACACTAAATTGTCTTTTGCCTGTATTTCTTCCCCGTGCGGCGTAAATAATTGCATCGTGTCGTTCACGTGCTTAAATAATTTGACACTATCCCAATGCAGCTCCATGTCAACTTGCCCCCAGCTGTAGCGACCACATTCAATAAGTTTTGAACATCTTCTTTGCTTCTGCCATAAATCAAAGCATCGTCTGCGTACAACAGGATTGATACTACACTACTTTTAAATGACAATTTTGTTTGTTCGCTAAGGAGCCCCTTATGCATCGTGTATCACCACCCACCGCCATCACCATTATGAAACAGGGACAAAGGGCACCCTTGCGCAATGCCCGAGTTTTGCGGCCTCTCTTTTGGCTTGTGCCCCCCATCCGCGACACAGAACATCCTGTTAGTATAGATGTTTTTGATGATTGCCAAAAGACGCTTGGGTATACCGAACCTTCCAAGAGCTGTCAGCCTTGCCTCCACATCGATTGAATCAAACACCTTCTTCCAATCCAGCGCGACGAATGTTGAACCAGAATTGTTCCCTATGTTTGAAATTTCTATATGTCGTCGTACCATATGTATTGCATCTGCCGTGCCGCGCCCCCTGCAAAAGCCAAACTGGGTTGCGTCGAGCCGGTCTTTAGCACCAGCATCTTGCAATCGCTTTAAAGGTAAATTTGCCACCATTTTGTACGCGACGCAGAGTAAGGTGATTGGTCTGTAGTTGTCACAGATGTGCAGAGGCCTTTCGTTTTTATAGATGGTGCTCACCAGCGAGCGCCGGCAAGTTTGAGGAACATTTTCTTCTGACCAGCATGCGTTGCATAACTTCGTCAGCCATTCTATACCTCTGGGTGTTTGAGTTATTGTTTTCTAGTATTATGCTGGGACGCCGTCCATTCCAACAGCCTTGTCGCATTTGAGTTGCTGAACAATTTTCCCAACCTTTTGAGTTGTGAACGTAGTTTCGCAGAGTGGCAATGTGGGCCCCAAAAAGTATGTCGGTAGTAATTGTGTTGGCTGTACTTTCCATGACATTATTCCAAAAATTCCGCCATCGCATGTGCCCGTTCGGAGCTCTCCCCCAACTTCCCCGCCATATTTTATAGGCGTCTTTGATTGCGCGGGCGTGCTCGGTAATAAGCGCGTATGCCATCCGAATTCCCGGACCAGCGGTGTTGATATCCCAAAGCAATGCCTTTCCGAATGTTGGGATGCAGACCCCGAGAGCGTTCTCGAGCCAGTTTCGGTACCAAGTCTATGGATTGTTGCCCCCACCTTCCATACACTTCTGCACCGAGGCATTGTAGAGAACCCAGACCACTCGTAATCACAATATTGTAGTTGTTGTCGTTCTCGCTCTGCGCACGCCTCAATAAACCACCTCCTGCATTGCTCGTTCCAGATCTGGGACCACCGGTGCCTGTGATAGGTGAAGCCACCGTGACGTCACAGAAAAGTGGCAGTCCTTGAGCTACGTTGAGACATGGAACCACCAGATCAATTCTTCGTTGGTCGTTTGGTGGCACTGGTAGATGAGTCCTGTTTAGCGTGCGTTCCACATTTTTGTCTGGAATGCAACCGCCAGCTTCGACAAAGACTGGGCGCCATGCAGCCACGAGCTCTTTATGTCTACCGTGTGTGCGGCCACCCGTTGTCGAAGCAAATTGTGCATGTCCGTGCAAGTCAGGTCCCTCGTAAAGTACAGCCATACCCAGTCTTCGTTTGACAGCGCACTGCAACTCCACATTGGTAAAACGTAAAGCGTCGGTAGTAGGAGAAACAAGCAGCCATATTTCAACAAAGGGTCCGCCGCACGAGTGAATGTGTGATTTACCTGCCGAGGCAGCGTTGGACCGTGTACTGGGGAGCGCCAGTTGTCGCTATAGGTACGTCAATTGTTGTTTTTCCAACACATCCGAACATTGGAATTGCCACCCGTTTTGCCACTCCCCTAAAACATTTCCTGTTGGAGGCCGCTCGGGAGGGCGCATCCCGGCTGCAAGCTCCACCAATGTTGGCCGCTCCGTCCAACCAGTATTCGTGCAATTTCGGCCTGCATCTTCTGCCGCGGCCAAATAATTGGGGCCGGCTTGCCCACCCCTGAGCATCGTGGTAAGGTTTTGCACAATAGCTTGGCCATGCGTCGGGAACCTTTGCAACAAACATGGCAGGACGTCTGCCCAGCTTGCCCAATACGCTGCCGTATAAGTCCGCTGGGCACTGCGCAATCCCATACCCGAAAGCCGTAATGGAAGGGAGGCTTGTATTGTCCAGGCGTCGTACGTCACACCGTGCATTCT